GGGACCCTCCTTGATCAGGCCCACCCCATGTTCAGACTTACAGACCCTCAAGGGCTCAGAGAGGCAGGTCCCATGGTGAGTGGAGGGCAGGCCAGGTATTTTGGGGCCTGGGTCAGGCATCTGGGCTGTGCCTGGCCAGGCCTCACCCCTGGGGTGGGGGCCATAGCTCGGCGCAGCGTGGACGGGCGGCTGAGCGGGGCCCAGGCGGAGCTGGCGCTGCAGGAGGACAGTGTGCGACGCAGCGAGCGGGAGCGCCGGGCTGCCCTCGACCAGGTGGCCGCCCTGGAGAGGAGCCTGCAGGCCACCGAGAGCGAGCTCCGGGCCAGCCAGGTAGGCAGGGCTGAGGGCCAGTGGGATGAGGGGAGGATCTGCTGTCTGAATAGGTGTATGTAAGTCCTACTGTGTGCATGCATCTGTTTCTGCCTGGTCCCAGCACCCATTGAAGTGACAGTACTTGGGACCTCTGTTCCCTTCGTCTCTGTAGAGCCACGTGAGTGGTGTTCTGGGGGTTTTATGTATTTGCTGGGCATCTGTATGTGGGGGGCAGGGGGCAGGGGGGGCAGGGTGCACAGGCCCTGATGGTGACAGTCCAAGCTGCCAAGGACTTGAGACCTTCGCACAGCCATGGATCTGGATCCCCTCTGTTTCTCCCCCCCCCCCCTTTCCTCCCCGGCCCTCCATTACTGCCCCCGCAGCCCACCCTCTGCCTCTGGTTCTAGGCCCAGCTTGAGCTGGGTTGTTGTGTCTGCGGCTCCAGCGCTGGCCTTGGGCCCAGCCACAGGGGCCGCGGGAGGAGGCCAGGAACAAAGCTGGGCAGGAGCCAGCGTGGGGCTGCCGGGTGTAGAGCTGGCAGGGTTGGGGCTCTGAGCAGGGCGGGAGAGGGGCCAGGCCTGGCGGGGGGGGGGGGTTGGGGGTGGTTATAAGAACACCCTCTTGACCTGCCCTGTCTCCAGGACGGTGACAGGGATGGAAGGACCCCGGTCTGTCTTCCTGACCTGTCCCCACTCCCCAAGTCTCCGTCACAGTCTGAACTCACTTGGGGGGAGGAGCATCATACCCTAAAACCTGCAGGGGCCCAGGGCTCCTGCCCGACTCAACTCAGGTCACACAGGCAGCTTCTGGGCTGCTCCCCACTTTCTCCAGGGGGTCCTGAGGGATGCGGCAGGGGTGGGGTGGGCTGGACAGCTGGGGCCTGAGCCCTCCCCCACCCACAGGAGAAGATCAGCAAGATGAAGGCCAATGAGGTGAAGCTGGAGAGTGACAAGCGGCGCCTGAAGGAGGTGCTGGACGCCTCTGAGAGCCGCACCATCAAGCTTGAGCTGCAGCGGCGCTCGCTCGAGGGGGAACTGCAGCGCAGCCGCCTGGGCCTGAGCGACCGGGAGGCCCAGGCCCAGGCCCTCCAGGAGCGGGTGGACTCCCTGCAGAGACAGGTGGGTCCCCTCCCCCCTCGCAGGCCCAGTGCCAAGTGCTATACAGGGACTATGTAATCCTCCCAGCGGCCCTGTGAGATAGTATCATCCCTGTTTCATGGATGGATGAATGGAGGCTCAGGAGGTGATGTCATCGCCCAAGATCACGTAGCTAATAAGGCAGAGCCCACATTAGAATTTAGGACTGGTTGATGGCAGAATCTGCACTCATGGGAAGCATGCTGGAGAAGTTGGAGAAGTAGACTTCACTCATTTCCTATTTTGCCCTGGCTGCCAGGAAGCTCATCTCTAACCGGACTGTTCAGTAATTCCGCTAGCCCTGCACAATCCCCCACCAAAGTCAAGAACGCAGAAATTCCAGGGTTGTGGTAGATACCCTTCATTCTCGTTAGCAGAGAGGAGAGGCGGATGAGAACAGAGAGGAGACCATGGCGTCTGAGACAATCGGGTTGATGGTGCTGTGGGTGGGGGTAGTTGACCAGCGGTGGGACGGGCCTCGGTGGGAGTAGGCTGAACCAGTAGGCGTGCATGGGAACAATGAGCATCAGTGATGAAGGCCTAGAGAGAGAGGAAGGGTTTGGCTTGGGTGGGACCTTTCTTGTGGAGGCCACAGTGAGAACAGCCATTTCACCACCCTGTCGCTCCTGCCAGGTGGCAGACAGTGAAGTGAAGGCAGGGACTCTGCAGCTGACAGTGGAGCGGCTGAACGGGGCCCTGGCCAAGGTGGAGGAGAGCGAGGGGGCCCTGCGTGACAAGGTGAAGGGCCTGTCGGAGGCCCTGGCCCAGAACAGCGCCAGCCTCACCAGCACCCAGGACAAGAATCTGCAACTGCAGAAGGCCCTGGCGGCTTGTGAACATGACCGCCAAGTGCTCCAGGTACAGACGGACTCCAGGGTCTGGCTGGGATGGGCCCAGCAAGAGAGTTAGTTAGCCAATAGACAGGCTTGGAGGGGTCTGGTAGAGAGCCAGCCAATGAAGCAGTCAGTTGGGAACCTTAAGGAGCTAATCAATGAGAGGGAGGGGTGGGCTTAATAAGAGCATCAGTCAGTAAGAGGAGGCTCTGCTGGGCGGTGGGGGGGCCAATAAGAGAACAGCCAACTAGCACGCGCTTTGAGGGACCTAGGTGCAGGGTTAGTGGGTGAGACAGATGGGTTCTGGGGAGGGGTTCCTGGTCTTCTATAGCTCAGTATAGGCTGTGGGCCAGTCCCGCTGTCTGGCTCACCCTCCAGGTGAGATGACACCTCTTTTATAAGCTGTGAAACTGGCCTAAGATACTGAGTAGAGGGTGTGCCCAGCCTGGCACCATCAGCCCCTGTCCCCCAGGAACGGCTGGAGGCTGCTCGGCAGGCGCTATCCGAGGCCCGGAAGCAAAGCGGCGCCCTAGCTGAGCAGGTGCAGACAATGCGGGGCGAGATGGCGGACCTGGAGCTGCAGCGGGCGGAGGCTGAGGGCCAGCTGCAACAGCTGCGGGAGGTGAGGGCCAGGGGGGACCCCTTCTGTCGCCAGGATGCTGAGGCCCTCAGGATAAGGTGGGGACCTTCCCACCTATCTTAACCTCATTCCAAACCCAGGCCCAGTCCCCTGGGAGGAGGAACCCCCATAACCCACAAGCCAGGGATGAAGCATGGTACCCCATTATAGAGATGGAGAAACTGAGGCCCGAGAGGAGAGCTGTCCAAGCATGCTGGAGAAGTTGGAGAAGTAGATTTCACTCATTTCCTATTTTGCCCTGGCTGCCAGGAAGCTCATCTCTAACCGGACTGTTCAGTAATTCTGCTAGCCCTGCACAATCCCCCACCAAAGTCAAGAACACAGAAATTCCAGGGTTGTGGTAGATATCGGAGACAGTTTCCTGGTGCGGGCCTCACAGCCGCCCTGCCGAGTTAGTGGGCATGGCAGGCTGGCATTGCCCTCCCCGGGCTTCAGACGCACTCACTGAGGCCCGGAGGAATGAGGGGCTCGCTGCTCCTGCTGCAGGTGCTGCGGCAGCGGCAGGAGGCTGAGGCTGCGGCCCTGCACACGGTCCAGAAGCTGCAGGACGAGCGGCGGCGGCTGCAGGAGCGCCTGGGCGGCCTGCAGCGCGCTCTGGCTCAGCTGGAGGCTGAGAAGCGGGAGGTGGAGCGGTCAGCCCTGAGGCTGGAGAAGGACCGGGTGGCCCTCAAGAAGACGCTGGACAAGGTGGGCTGCTCCCCAGGACCCTCCCCTCACTTCCTTTAGGGCATAGCCATGGTTGGTCCAGCTGCATGTCACTAGGATCCCTGGTCCTTCTGCCTCTAACCTAACACTCTCCCGGAGCCCCCCACTTCCCGGCACCCTGCTCCCCTCCTGCTCTCCCCACCCAGGTAGAGCGGGAGAAGCTCCGCAGCCACGAGGACACAGTGCGGCTTAGTGCCGAGAAGGGCCGCCTGGACCGCACTCTCACGGGGGCCGAGCTGGAGCTGGCCGAGGCCCAGAGGCAGATCCAGCTGCTGGAGGTCCCGCCCCTGCCCACCCAGTCCTGGGCACCCCACCTCCCTAACCCCTGCCCCACCCCAGCCTCAGAGTCAGGAGTTGCTGATGGCTCAGCCAGTTCAGAGCCCACAACGCTGAGCCCGAACCCTAGGGCTCAGAGTGAGGTCCCAGAGGGAGGGCTCCCCCCAAAGCTGAGAGAAAGATGCTGACGGCCGGTTAGCACCCGAGTCTGTGTGTTGATGTGTGTTGTGGCCATGTAGAGGCATGAGTGTTCATGGGTATATTCTGGTGCTTAAATCTTGCACAGATGTGGCAAGTCTGAGTATTAACAATATGTTATATCTGTATGCGTGTCTGTGTACAGATGTCTTCATGTATGTAGGGTATTAGGCTTTTGCACATCTGTATACACCCAGGTGAACATGCTTTCTTTTGTGCCTGTATATATATGGGCCTGTGTTTGAATATATCTGTGTGTGTGTATGTGTATGTATCTGAATGGGAGTCACTAGGTACCCTCATCACAGACCAGGAGGGCCAGGGGGTCAGGAACAAACAAGGATCTCTCCTTCATCCCCTGCCTGCACTGGCTTTGCCCCAAGGGCCTTCAGGCTCCTGCCCTGGGAGGTGCCTAATACTCGTTGTGCATACACCACACACACACACACACACACACACACACACACGGGGTCAGACTCTTGACTGGCGGCCTCTCCTGCAGGCCCAGGTGGTGGTGCTGGAGCAGGACCAGAGCCCAGTCGGGCTGGAGGCACTGGAGGCAGAGGAGCAGCAACAGCTGGAGCTGCAGCAGGAGGTTGAGCGCCTGCGCAGTGCCCAGGTGCAGACAGAACGCACCCTGGAGGCGCGGGAGCGGGCCCACCGGCAGCGGGTGCGTGGGCTGGAGGAGCAGGTACTCAGGCCTGACTGGGCCCTGGCCCCTCCCTGGGGGCTGCAGCATGGCGTGTGATGCTGGAGAAGGAAGAGAAGGTGGAGGGGGAGAGGGCTGGGTGTGACCTCTGGGGTATACGCCACCTATGGCATCCAAAACGGAAGTGGTTGGGTGGGTGTCAACTGTGGCTGAACACGAGCTTAAGAACTCAGTCCTCTGGGCAGACCCTCTCCCTGAGCGCAGGTGGCCTCTGGAGCTCCCGCTCAGGTTATTCCAATCCAACCACCCTTGACCCCAGGCCTGGGGGAGGGGGTGGGGCGAGTGGAGCAACAGCAAAGGTCCCAGGGCTGCTTCTCATTGACCAGCTTCAATCCCAGCCCCTTACTGACCGTGCCACCTGGGCACGTGCCTACAGGGCAAGGCTGGTTCGCTAAGCCAGGCCTGGGTCTCAGGTCCACCCCGAGTCGGGCTAGTGTCAGGCCCATCTGAGTGATGAGGGGATGGGGTTCCCCAAAGAGATGCCGAGCATCAGAGGAAGAGGACACCTGACTATACCGTGGAATAGAACGAGGAGGGAAGGACACACCCTGGTTCTAAATGAGGGTTTTTTCCCGGGGTCCCAGCTGCAATCACCCCCTTTCTCTGCAATCAGGCTGAGGACCCGGGCCAGCCAGGCAGGCTCCACCTTCTCTCTCTTCTCCAGGTGTCCACACTGAAGGGGCATTTGCAGCAGGAGCTTCGGAGGAGCTCAGCGTCCTTCTCCCCCGCCTCTGGGCCCCCAGAGAAATGAGCCCTTTCCCGGCCGGTACCTGGGGCAGAAGAGGGCCTCCTCTCCACAACCCACTCAAGAGCCTGGGCCTGTCGGGGCCACCAGAGCTCAGATGGGGTGAGGAGGAGCCGAGGTGGCAGTTCTGGGAGCTGGGGGACTCCAGTGCAGGCCCGACCCAGCAGTGGCTTCTCAGCATCATCAGAGTCACGTGCCGTCTCTGGGCCCCCCTCAGTCCAGCCCCTCCCCGGGTGAGCCACTCCACACTCTACAAGGTCCTCGCTGAGGGGCTGAGCCGAAGCCAGGGTCAGGGTGGCCGGCCCGGAAGCAGGCCCCTGGAGCGTGGGCTCATGGGAAGCAGGAGGGGTGCCCAGGCCTAGGGCAGGGGTCAGAGACCCAGGCCCTGCCCTGGCTTCCCAGGGGTCTCTCTGCCTTAGCGCAGAGTGTTTGTCAGGAAATCCCTTCGAGTTCAGAGTCCCTGTATTTTTGTACCTTTTTATAATGTTAACTGTTCAGAACTGTTTGTGTGTTTTTACAAGACCCTATTTTCTAAAAATGGTTTTGTACCGACGTGTTTTTTTACTGTCAATGTGCCTCGACCACCTGGTAGATGGGAGGGGACACAGGTAGGGCCTTGGGCAGGCGGGAGGGGCTCCAGAGGCCTGTGGAGCTTACCACCCTCAGCATGTCCGGGTGGGAGGCCTCCTGGGCCCAGTGCCGCCCACCCATTTAACAGAGGGGGGTGTTGAGGCTTGGAGTGTGGCCCAACCTGTGCGGCCTGACTCCAGGCCCAGCTTTCTCATCCCTTCCTCAGCCCCTCCCCGGTGAGGCCCACCCTCTGGATACTGATGGGCCTTGCAGGCTGCGTGGTGAACAAATGCAGGCCTGGGGGTGGATGTGGGTCCTGGCTCAGCTGAGTGAGCTTGGGCAAAGGCGCTTAACCTGTCAGAGCTCGGCTCGCTCACCTGTGAACGGGAACCTGCCCCACAGGCTGTCGGAGGGAGGCATACTGGCTTGCCCTGTTTCTGCCCCTCCCACAGCCCTTGATCTCAGCGCCCACCTACCTTGACCTCCTGCCTTACACCCTATCCACACCCTTATGCTTCCGTCCTGGCGCCTCCGGCCTGGGCTTGCACCCTCTGACGGGGGACTCGGGCCCTGACAACAAGAAAGCTGTGTTCCTGAACCTTCTATCTACGCTGTCACCTGGGGGTAGCTGCCATGCCATCTTTCTGGCAGGTCAGAGCTGATGCCGGTGAGAGGGGAGGCAGGACTGGGACAGCAGAGGCAAAGCTGAGGTCGCTGGACGGTCCCTTCTCAAGAGGCCAGGTAGCCTCAGCGTTTTCTATAACGAGACCAGGGCGGCACCTGGCCACCACCCGCCTTGTGTTCTCTGAAAAATGACTGAATCTTTTGTAAAAACTTGTTTTTAATTTTGTATAAAACAGGTGGTCTAGGCCCAGGGGCTGTAGGAAATCCAAGCAGACCAGCTGGGGGGAGGGGCACAGCCTACCTCAGGGTGGAGAAGGCACTTCGGAGGCCCAGTCCCACTGAAGCCCGGATGCCCCCCACCTGGGGGTAAGGACTGGGCAGTGGGGAGCCCCCATTGTGCCTCTGGGGTGGTCACAGCCTGGGGAGGGGCCTGAGACAACCCCCTGGGCCGCAGTCCACTAACTTTTGACAGAATAGAAGGAATGTCAGGCGGGAAGGAAAGCACCAGGTCAGGCAGGGCCCGAGGGCCCCGGATCTGAGGAGGGGCCGGGGCTCGGGTGCCGGCTGCACCCTAGCAGCCCCCGCAGCTGCGAGCACAGGAGGCCGCCACGGATTGGCACAGGCCGCTGCTGGCCATCACCCCACATTTGGAGAATTTGTCCCGACACAGGTCAGCTGTTGGGGGGCAGAAAGGAATGGGGGTCAGGGTGGGGCTGGGTGATGGGAACTGCTCCCCACTCTGAGTTCAGGATCCCCTGGAAGTGGCCCCCCGCACAAAGCACGTGTTTAATAAACATCAGGTGGTGGACAGGTGGATGGATAACGAGGGAGCGGAGCGGGGAGAGGTCAGAGGTCGGGGGCGGAGGCTGCCTACCTCGGAGCAGCTCCTCGTGGGCGCAGACTGTGCGGACACAGATCTCCCTGTTGATGACGTACATTCTGCGGAGGCTGGGGGAGGAGGCCAGGGAGGTGTCAGCCCCACCCTGGCCCAGCCCCCCTGGGAGAGTCTGGGCAGGGCCTGGTATAGGAGCCCGGGAGTCCCGGCCCCCAGGCCAGGGCTCAATCCCCAATCAACTCCAGGATTTATTATCTTTCCTCGAATTTCACGGGGGCCCCTTTTGCTCCCTCCCCCTCGCCCGGCCTGTGCTCACCTGTAGAAGCAGACCTCGTTCAGACACTGTTTGCAGGGCTTGTGTATGGAGTAGAGGCGGGTGCACGGGTACTGCTCCTCGCGGCAGTCTGGGTGACAGGTGGGATCAGACTGGGGGGCTGCAGCTGAGGGCCCAGAACTGGGGGGGAGCCCCCAACTTTGCCCACCAGAGACTGGCTCTCATCTCAGTCTAGGTACGCCCTGCACCCTCTGGCCCAGACACACACACACACACACACACACACACACACACACCCAACACATGCACACACAGTGCTGTTGGACCTGAGGCCGCCCAGTTTTATACAGTGTATTTATACATACGGACTCCTGTATACAGATTCACACCCAAACTTAAGAAGCATATATTCACACATAAAGTCAGAAGTCCACACCCACCCACAGGAGCACACTGCACCCTGAGCTCACGAGGGTCAGACGGGATCCCCCAGTCTGGCTCTCGGGCTCTTGGCTGGGCAGCGTGGGGCCTGCTGAGCCAGCCTTGGCTTCCTGCCCCTTCACCTGCTGCCAGAGCACTACCGCCCGGCAGGAAGGGGACACGCTCCCTGCCCCGCCCCAGCGCCTGGGCGCAGGGGTCCCCTCGGAGGCTGCTGCCAATTCAACCTCAGGCCAGGCCCAGGGGGCTGGGGGACTGCCCAGAGCTGCCTAGGGGGGCCGCCTAAAGCAGGCCTCCTACCCCCCACCTACCCGGGCAAGAGCACAAGGCCTGGCAGTCTCCGTTCTACCAGCGCCCCACCCCACTTCCCCGACTCCAGGGACAAGAGAGCTCTTACCCAGCGGCCCCGGCTCTGTGGGCTCCGTCTCCTCGTTTCCTGGCTCTGGTATTGGGAGGGGGCAGGCAGAGATCATTGAGAGAGGTCACCGCTACCCCCACCCACACACACACACAGACCCCCACTCCCAGGGGTGCCGCCTACCGAAGGTGGGCGCCGGGATGACTTCCTGCTGGACTTGCTGCTGAGACTGGAACTGGAACTGCTCCTCAGAGGGCCGAGGAGTGGCCTCTGCAACAGGACATGATAAGGGGGGCGGGGAGCAGGCCCACCCAGATGCCCACCCGTCCTGTCCAGCCCCGACCCTTTACCTTGATAATCATAGTAGTCCGGGTTGTCTGAAAACAGAGATGAATGAAAATTGGTGGGGGTCAGGCTAACTCCCAGCCCCAGGGGCAAAGGAGGTCACCACTGAGCCAGGCACCTCCCCCTCCCCCCACCAGGTCCCTGGCTGAGCTTGATGACATGGCAGGGCTGGGGGCCCCTGGGGGGGAGGGCAAGGCCTTACCGATCTGGTCACCGTAATGGGTGTACTGGACGTGGTCTGGGAATGGCGGCAGTGGGTCCAGGTCATATTGCCCCTGAGCCAGCAGGCCTGCCGTGGGGAGGGAAAGCATGAGGGGGTGCCCCATGGGGACAGCAAGGGCCCTGAGACACTTCTGGGGAGGTCAGACAGGCATGTAAAAGAGACCCAAAGATCCTACAACCAGACTCTTAGATCTATAGGATCCAAACTCCTTCCTCAACCATGATGGCCCTTACACTCCCTGGTCCTGTGTCACCTCATTGACCTCATCCTGCTCATCTCCCCCATGCTGGCCTCATGGCTGCTCCTGGCACTCAGCACCTCCTGTCTGCCCCAGGGCCTTTGCACCTGACTCTCCCAAGCCTGTGATCCTGGTCACCTTTTCCTTTAGGTCTTTTTTTTTGTTTGTTTGTTTTTGTTTGTTTGTTTGTTTTTTTAATATATTTTATTGATTTTTTACAGAGAGGAAGGGAGAGGGATAGAAAGTTAGAAACATCGATCAGCTGCCTCCTGCACACTCCCCACCGGGGACGTGCCCACAACCAAGGTACATGCCCTTGACCGGAATCAAACCCGGGACCCTTGAGTCCGCAGGCTGACACTCCATCCACTGAGCCAAACCGGTCAGGGCTCCTTTAGGTCTTAAATAAAATTTCAGCTCTGCTAAGAGGCTCTCGCTGGCTGACCCACCCTCTCTATCTCATCCGCCTGCTTATTTCTATCATAGCACTCAGTACAATCTGACATTTATCTATTTGATAACATAGCCCTCCCTTCCCTAGACTGGCAGCACCATGAGGGCAGGCACTTGTCTGCCTGGTTCATCGCTGCATTCCCAGGGCCTAGCCCAGTGCCTGGCACATAGTAGGAGCTCAACAAATATCTGTTAAGTGAATGCATGATGGACCAGGCAGGGCCTTTTCAGTCCCATTGATAACTTCTCACTTGACCAATAGGGACCCCTCTAAGGTCAAAATTGTATAGGGGGTTGAGCCCTTAATGGGTCTAGACCCCTGCCTTGGGTACCCCAACTCCTACACATCAGCTTCTGGGAGGGTAAGGAAGTAAGAGGGAAGACATGGACTCGGGGTGCCAGGATGTGTGCCCACTTTCCAGAATCCCCCTTGCCTGCCGCTTGGGCGGCTGGGGTAAGGGCCCAGGAAGTGCCTCAGACTTTGGGAGGGGTTGGAAAGTCCAGTCTGAGGTCCAGGAGGCAGGAGGCCCTGGGACCCAGGGAGCTGAGTTCTGGCGACAGGGCACAGCAAAGACTCACTGCCATCCCCCTCCCCTGCAAACCTCACGCTCACCCACAGAAGGGGGGCCCCATCGCCAGGAGCCACTCACCAGGCAGGAATAGCAGGAAGAGGTAGGCTGCTCTCATGGCTACTCTGTGAGGCGGCTGGGCTGGTGTCAGAGGACAGCTGGAAGAGGAAGGCAAACTGTATCCCAGGGCACTAACCCGGGGCTGCTGAGCCCACCTCCGCTCCCCCCCTCCTCGCTGCATGCAGCCTGGAGAAGGAGGCACCCCAAATAGAAGCCAGGCATATGGAGAGCCCAGAGTCTAGAGGAGGAACTACTTGGGGGAGAGATCGAATGTTCGAGTGCCAAGGGACAAGACCTCCAACTGGGCTCCAGGGCTGATCTTGGCAAATGGACAGAACCTACCCTGCCCTGCTCAGCAAGGGGACATTCCTAGCCCCCCACCAACCCTGACCCTGCTCTCCCTGCCACTTCCATGCCCACGCTCTGGTTCCGCACCTCCCCGGGTGTCTAAGGCGCTGATTGTGTGCATCCTGACCCCGAGCCCCCTGCTTGGGATCCCAGCTCTGTCCGGCCAACATCACAGCTCACCACATGTGTGCACGGGC